CCTCCTGCCTCACAGATGCCTCAGGTCAGCGCCAAGGGGTCAGCACTGAGGGAGGGCCTGTTCCTCAACCCGTGCTCCCCAGGGAACAGGGCCTAGCAAGATCCGCTGCTGCTCGCAGGTTCCTGCCCACACCCACCCTCCCTGCCCACTGCGGAGAGGTTGCTGCTGTTGGCAGTGGCAGCAAGCCTCAGCAAACACATTTAAATCTGAAGTGACAGATAAAGCGATTTATGGCGACAGTTTAGCGTCAGATCACTTCCCACAAGGCAGTCGGTGTCCCTCAGCCCCCTGCTTGCTAGTCCATCAAGGCGGTCTCTAAATCACTGACTCCAAGCGGTGGCCCAGGGACAGTGAGGGGGCCAGGCTCCCCGGGGCCCTCCAGGCAGCAGAGGGATGAAGCAAGGACTTTGGCTGGCTTGGGTGGAGGAGCGGGACGATAAGCGGCTGGCAGACCACAAATCAAAGCCTCAAGACTTAAGGAAACAGAGTACCACTTCATGCCTTATTTTAAATAAATAAGCGGCTTAAAAAACTCCCAGTGAGGCCAACTTGTCGCTGTGAAACATGGCTTCCCACCCAGTCTGCATGGCCTGGCCCGCATGCCCAGGGCCCTTCAAAGGCCTCGCTGACCCCCCTTGCCTCCCGCCACCTCTCTGCAGAATTAATTGGTCCCTGCGGCGTCTCGTGGCACTTTGTTCAGGCCTTGCTTCCAGTGCTTTGTCACATTATATTCTACTTAGTTGCTCTTGCTCTTGACTTCCTAATAATAATTTCCTCGGGGCTCCCTCTGTGCCAGGCCCTGGGCCCAGTGCTGGACAGACCTGAACTCATGTCATCCTCATACCACCATGGGTGGAGCCAATGATGGTCCATTTTTCAGATGAGGAAACAAAGGCCCAGACACGCCTAGCCAGAGGCCATAGCACTGCCAGCGGGAACGCTGGGACTCCAACTCAGCTCCTGGCCTCTGTGCCCACGGCCCTGACTTGCTGGCCTAGGACACCTTCGAAGTGAAAGATTCTTTCTGTCTCTGCACAAAGCATCACATTCATCCCTGCTCTGTCCCAGTACGCCTGAAGGCCATAGCCTGCAGCCAGACCCCTGGGCTGGCCAAGAAGGGGGGTCTTTCTTTGTGCTGAGACACTTCCTGCCTGGGGCTCAGCTGTCTTTTGGGAACTAGAGGCCCACAATCACAGGCCTGGCACGCTGGGTCCCTCAAGGGCATGGAAGTGACCCAGTCAAGGTCACAACCCACCATGGCAAAGAGAAGATGCAAACACTCTAGAAGTCAAAGAACCCCCCCAGGTGGAGAACCCCAAACGTGGAGGAGATGCCAGGCATAGCTCTCCCCAGACACAGCCTGGGAGGTCATAAGCCAAGCTGGAGAGGCAGGCACTGCCCCCCCCCCGCCCCCAGAATCTCCTGCTCCAGTACGGGGGCCCGCGAGAACCCCCTGGCTTATCGTGCCAGCATGGCAGCCTAATATAATTAAGATGGATGCTGTGTGCCCCCGTGGGCAGGAGCCACGGCCAGCACAGATGGCGGAAACCTGAGACTCTCCGGGTGCTGCCTGAGCCAAGCGGCCTTGGCCAGCAGGGCAGAGGAGGGTCCAGAGATACCTGCTCTGTGCCTGGGGCCTTAGGGATGTTGGTCTTGCCCCCTGTGACCTCAAGCCCTGCCACCTACCAGCCTACAACCCCCTTCTACTCTCTGCCCCAGCCCCCCTCCACAAACCATATCACACACATCACACCACACACACACATGCACATACCAATCACATCTCAAATATCAGCAAAGTGGGGTAAAAACCAGTCCTGGACTTCCAATGCCAGGGTGCCAGTTGGGAAACAGAGTCTGATTTTCCAAAGTCCAGAGAGAGGCCATGGGTGGGGGAGCCCCCTTTGAGGGACGGGGAGGAGTAAGGCACAGTCAGGGAGGGTACCTGGCCCTTGCCCATGCCAAGGATCCCCAGGGTCCTCCGGAGGGGCGGGAAGGGAAGAGTGCCCTAGACTGGGCTGGAGACCCCACCCCAGACCAAGGCTCTTCCGGATGGAGGAGGTTTTGGGGGTCCTAATACCCGTTTCTCTCGCAGACCCTTCCCAGCTCCCCTGATGCCTCCCCCTCCATGGTCCCTGCAGCTGGAGCAAGGCCCAGACAGTGATGGCACCTCACCTGCACCCCTGGCCCCATTTGGCTGCAGGGACAAAAACAAACACCCCCACAAAATCCAGAAGCTCTGCAGCTGACCTCAAGCCCCCAGCCCAGTCCAACGGGACACTGGTCCCCAAGAGCCACCAACCCCCATGAGGCCAACATTGCCCTTAGCTTCAAAAATAAAAATTTGAAAATCTCCACCCTGAGATAATTGCTCCCTCCTTTTCCCCATTGTGGTGGCTCAGCGGTCGGCACTGAGAAGCAATTATTCACGGCTAATGATTATAATCAAGTCAAATAGAATTTAATGGACACGTATTCTCTTCCTGCTTGAAACTTTACATATGAATTAAGCACATATGGGTTTCACGAGGCGCAGACCAGATTTATGCAGCCCGGAAAAGCCCCGCGACGCCACGACTTTTATTCCGCTAATAAACAGGCTGATTTACCGGCGCCACCGGGCGCTAGGACTGCGATCTCTGCTGCCACCTGGTGGGCAGCTGGCCGCGCTGCGCTAAGGCAGTGGGGCCGCCAGGGAAGAGGCCCCAGGACCCCCAGAAATGAGGCCTGAGGACCACAGGTGTGGGTACCCGGGCCAAGACCACCAAGGACCCACGAGGTCTGACCAGTGCCAAGGCCACCTGAACACCAGGGCCGGGCAAACACCTGCTCAGAGGACCTGGAGGGGGTACAGGCAGTGCGGGACCCCCAAATCCAGGGCCATCCTCAGCCTTTCCCTGGGGTTCCTGGCAGATTCTGGGCCCTCCCTGCTGTGACGCTCTTTCTAGAAAAAAAGGAGATCCCAGGAAAACAGGCCAAGAGGTATTAATTAGGTAAACTGAAGCAAGCCAAGGGAGGAGAAAGCAGCTCATCTGGGGGAGGCACCCAGCATCCCTTTTCATCACTGGGACAGGGCGAGGCCCAGAGTGATGATGACGATGGCATCTATTCTAGCACCAACAACAGCCGCAGGTGCTGAGCCCTCGGCTCATGCCAGGCATCACAGTCCATGAGCATCTGCTCCTAATGTCCCCTAACACCCCATCGCTGGGTTTTCCACCACTCCCATGATACAGAGGAGAAAACAGAAGCCCAGGCGGGGACATGGAGAAGGGGAGCCCTTGGAGAGACATGGCAAACGCTGTCACCCCCAGCCCAGTACAGTCAAATGAAGCCAGAACCAAAGTGCTTCTGTGTGCACGTGACAGGCTGCCAGAGCTGCTGCACTCGGAGGCTGGCCAGGCACAAGGGCACTCAGGAAGGGCCATTAATCACACCGCAGCCCTCCAGAGTTCCCACCCGCTCTATCTGCATACTGATGACACCCTGCTTGGGTCCCCCCACCCTCCCTCCTGGCCCTCCATCCACCAACCCGGCTGGGAAAGAGCTGATAAGATGCCCCACTTTTTCCTCTGGCCACTTTGCAGCTCAGCATGGAAAAGTGCCAGCAAGGTGCTTCCCACATCCTTGCCAGTGACTGACAGGGCCGGGGACACCGGGCAGGGCAGCCCCACAGGCCTGCAGGACAGTCTCCTCAGCCACGGTTCCAAGGCTCGGTCTTTCTATCCCAGGCCGACCCATCCTGGGTTCAGGCAGCACAAAGGCCCTTCTCCCCTGGGCTGCTACGCCATCGGTCAACCCAGCTTGGCTTGTCTTAGCTGTGTCTCCGCAGATGGACTCACAGGCCTCGCTGCCATCCACCATCCTAAAGGCCCAAGGGAAACACAGCAAAAGCAGCAGCAGAAACCCAAAGGTGACCCTCTGCTCCAAGCTGGAACTCCTGTCTTCATGTGACTGGTCACCTGTGCACTGAGACTGGCAACGCAAGGGGGACGGAACACCCGTGTGACTACACAGTTCTATAAACATCGGCGGGCAGACACGCAGAGTGAGGCCACTGACAGAAATGCAACCCAGATTATACATAAGCAGGCCCAGAGCAGCCAAGCGGCCACCTCTCCCCGGGTCCCAAGAGCCTAGTCACTAAGCAAGATCAGCATGAGCACCGCCATGTGCCAGAGTCCCCCGGCAACCCCACTCCCTGGCCAGCACTGGGGTCAGACACAATGGCTGCAAAGGTGAGAGAAAGGAGACTGGCAATGCTCCTGGGGGTGCCTGAGACCGCACAGGCGGGAGGGGGCCAGCACAGCAAGGTTTCACTGTGAATTGGAGCCCAGGACGTAAGGGTCTGTCCAGGTCCCCAAACCTTCCCTTAAGAAGGAGGCTCCTTCCTGTGATGCTCAGCAAGCAGGCAAGCAAGGGCTAGGTTCAGCCCCGCTCACCTTTGTCCCACAAACCATCTGTGTACCTGCTAAACTTGACCGCCCCTTGACACGCCACACCTGACCCAGACAACCAGCACATGACAACAAAGCAGCCAACTTCCTCCCTCCCCCAAGATGGGAGAGAGCCGCAGGCTCCTCGAAGCATCACAATAAACTGCCAAGCCAGCAAGAGTCACCACAGGAAGCTGAGCATGGGGGCACAGGGTGGGCGGGAGGGAGGCAGAGAAAGGAAAGCAGTGGTCAGGGGCATCTCTGCCTTCCTGGCAGGGCCGCCCGGCGCAATTCCAGCCAGGCTCTCTCTTCCCGGCCGCTAATGGGTCTCAGAGCTGTGAGGCAGCTCAGCCAAGGCGCCCCCGACACAGCCGGTCAAGGTTTCAAGGGAAGTGGAGTCCACGTGGCCGACACACTGCGCTCCCGTGGCGCCAGCAGGCCATCTCATCCGGCCACTAGCCTCACTGGAGCCTGGTGGCATCCCCAGTGCCTGGCATGACAGACCAGAACAAAGGTGACAAGACGATCCAGGTCTCTGGCGCAGGCCAGCCAGCCCTCACTCACCGGCGTTGATGATGGCGTCCACCTCCAGTTTGGTGATATCACCTCGGAACAGGGAGATCTTCTCGTTGAGTTGCTTGTCCTTCTTATACTTAGGCTCCTCCACCTTCACGGTCAACCCTGAAACAAGCAGAGCGAGGAGGAGCGTCACAGAGAGGCCCCCACTGCAGAGTGACCCACCAGTGCCCACAGGCCAGGCTCCACCTCCAGAGGCAGCCTGCCTTGTGGAGACTGATGAATACTGGTAATGACAGCCCATGCTGATTAAGCACCTACTATGTGCAGCAGACAGGCCATCTTCTTGACTTTTCACAACGATGTTACGCACAAGTACAGTATTAACGACATCCATGCCATTTTACAGACATAGAACTGAGGCCTAGGCAGGTGGATGACTTGCCCAGGTTACGGGTTACCAGGCCTGCAACTTGCTCACCAGCACGCCCCCTCCTCCCCTCCCCCAGCAAGCCACTCCACCACAGCTACAAATCCCAGCTCCACACCACGTGATGGCGAGTCTGGGCTCACCCTCCCAACCATGGAATGGGGATAAAAACCAAGCCTGCCTCAGGCTATGTTAATAATTAAATGAGGTGACACGTGCAAAGCATCCTGCACACAGCAAGCACTCAATAAACGCTGCTGCCACTCTTCTTGGCCTTGTCTGTATAATTCTCCCACGGTGTGGGTCCGAAGAGCCCACCCCCCCACCCCCAGTGGCCAGTGGGGCCTCCCCGGCAGACCTACCTTTCGCGGTCTCCTTCCAGGTTGGGATCTTCTTCAGCCTGATGAAGTCCCGGCAGAAGTAATGTTCCTCCCGCTGCTTGTCACTCAGGCCCTTCAGAAAGGCTGCAGGGGTGGGGTGAGGAGGGCAGGAAGGAGAGTCAAGGGAGGCAGGAAGGGGGGCAGTCCTGAGGGCTTCCCCACACCCCCATCCTCATGGGGACTCGCAGGGGACTCTCACCTGCTCTGAGGATGCAAACCAGCCCTAGGAGTCCATCCTTCCCACAGGCTCCAGGGGAGAGGGCATGGTGGGAGGAGCCATCTCACCTGGGGTGCTGGAGGCCGGAGGCCCTTTATTCAGGAGGGGAATATCTTACCCCGCCCTCTATTTAGGAGGGGAAACTGAGGCCCAGGGAGGCGGAGGATGTCTCTCAGGCACCACAGGCCTGAGTTCAGAATTCAACTCTGCCACTTGCCAGCTGCATCTACAACTCTAGTTCCCTAATTTCTTCATTTACAGAAAGGGGATTAAGACGCCCCTTGCAGAATAATTTCAAACTTATTCACACATGCTAAAGCCAGGCAGATTGGTGTCACTAAACCAATTACATTATCAATTGCTTATGTTACCAATCAGTTACACCATCAATCAGTTTCCTTATCAATCAGTTACATTGTTATTGTCACTATGTAAAGGCTCAGGACACAGGGAACCAAGACAACCTTCCTCCTCAAGGAGCCACTCACACAATCAAGCAGATCTGCTGCCTGTTCACAACACCCCCCTCAGCACTGGCTGAGGGTTCCCCACTTACAGACAGCCGCTGGGGCCTCTCCCAGTGGTGTAAACCAAGGGAGCAGCTGGAATTTTCCCTATTTTACAAGTGAGAAAATGGGGGCTCGGGGTGGTTAGGAGGCCACCAGTGTCTGGTGAGTGGGAAGCCAGGCCCCCCCATCCTCTCATGGACTCTGGGTTGGCCTGGGCTGGTTCCCTTGCTCCGACCTTGGCCCTGGGCCTCACCTTCCCTTTGGGCAGCACCAGGCGCAGGGGCCCAAGAGCCCCTCAGAGGCGTCTCTCCTGAGCGGCGGTCCAGGCTCGCAGCTCGTGGGCTCCCCCTGCCGGCCTAAGGCCACCTGGGTGCTCAGGCACTCAGCCTAGCCTCACTCCCTTGGACCACACTCTCCCCAGGTGGAGCAACCCCCACTGACCCCTTGGGGGTGGGAGGAGCAAACAAACAGCAAAGGCCACAGACAAGGGACTCAAAAGGCATCAGAAAGTGTGCAGAGGTGGGGGGACCATCAGAGGAAGTGGCGGGAGAGGAAAGGTTTGCCTCCTGGAGCCTTCTGGGGAAATGGCTGGAAGGGGCAGATATTCAAGAGACGGGCTGGTCCCTTTTCCCCGACAAAGTCACTAGGTCCATCCGAGTCTCTGCTCCTCCAGGATGTATGTGTTCGGAAGGGGCCCAGTTCACGGTCCAGCTCAGTACTATGGTGAGATTATCATAAAAGGCTCGTAGCACCCCAAATCCGCTTTCACTGAGGCTCAAACCAGAACCACACTTTCTGGCAGCCACATCCCACCTCTTCCACAGACAGACACCTACGATGTGCCGGTCGGTGCTGGGGATGCAACACCCAACCAGGCATATATGGTCTTGGCCCTGGAAAACCCACAATCCAACAGGGGAGACAGAGGCCGACCAGGCTTTACACAAGCAAGCAAGCAAGCAAGAAGTCCAAATTCGGAGCAGCGCTAAGAAAGGAGTCAGGGGGCTGGGTGACAAGTAACCAGAACCCCAGCCCAGGGAAGATAAGGGAGACTCAGAAGAGGAGCGGGAGGCAGTAAGTGCAGGGAAGGGTGTCCCACCAGCTGGAAGAGCATGTGCGAGGTCCTGGGTGAGTGAAATTTAGGGCACGGGGCAAGGCAGGGAGGGGATAAGAACAGGGTTCGGAATGATGCCCAGAGGAGGCAGCACCAAGCAAGCATCCACCATGCCCTGTTAGGGATTGACTTCATCCCAGGGGCACGATAACCAGACTGAAAATGCTTCCACCAATAGAGGTTCAGACCCCACACATATGTGCCATTTTCATTCTTTCGAAGAGGTCAAGGGTATCCCTACCATGGACAGTACCTAGTGTGGATGATCCAATCACTAGTGTCCCTGGATACTCACAGCCCCTTTCCCTGCCCTTCACCCTGGGCACATGACCCCACGCACGTTCTGAGGGACAGGTCAAGGGCTCCCCCTTAAACTCTCCTTTCTTGGTGTGTTTGGGGGTTGGCAGTAGGGTAGGGCACAGGTATTTGGAAGGAGCTGAAATACTTCTCCAAGCCTTGCTTGTTCTCGTCTGTAAACGGGGGTATGGAAAGCTCCCTTGTGTGTTACATGAGAAGCGAACAGGCTGAGTTGGGCGCGTAGCAAAGCACTCAGCTGCTGGCAGACGGTACCACCGAGCAAAGAACAAGCTGTGGAAAGGCCAGCTCCATCCAGGCTCTGCTTCTCCCTGGCGGTTTGGTTTGAATGCAAATCAGTCAGCTAATAAATAGCATTGAGCACCCACCAAGCCTGGGGGCGGGAGTCAAGGTGAGATCCCAGGGCCTGACCCAGCAGAGGGGAGTCCAAGACAGCTTCCTGGAGGAGGTACCCCCAACTTCTCTGGTCTGCCCCAGGAGCTGCCAATTGCTAGAGAAAATACCACCACCAAGCAGAAGGCTCCCTCTAAATTCTTGATCTCCCCCTGGTAGCCCGCCTTCCCGGTCACTCCAGCTGCTGCTTTAGAAATGGGTGCCCCCTCTCCCTTCTCCCCTCTCCCAAGCCTCCCCCACTCATCCTCCAGTCATAGATGCTGCCTCCTCCTCCCACCAAGCCGGGAACACCCTCCACACACACCTCATCTTCCCTCCCTCAGGTCACTGGGCATGAAGGTCCTTCCTCCCAGCTGAGGCCGCCTAGCTCACCTTCCAGAGGACAAGCTCCTAAAGCTCCCCCTCCACTGGCCTATCTTGTCTGCCCTCAAACACCCTCTCACCTCCTGGTCTTTTAAAACAAAACTCTCCCTCAAACTTGCATTCCACACCCCACAGCTGTAGCCTCACTTCTCTGTCCCTTCTCCTCCATCTGCATTTCCTCCCTTCCATACCCCCCCCCCATCATGCCTGTCTGGACCCACCTCTCCATCAAGGCCAAGGTCAGAAACACCACACCGGCCACCCGATCCATGGCCCTTCCTGTCCTCCCGTGCTCAGCACCCCCAGCCCCTCCGTCCCTCTCAGGAACCCCACTCCTGGGTCCCACCTGGCTCACTGGCCATCCTTCTAGTTCTTCTTGCTGCTCCCCTCTCCCCTACTCCACACCCTCTCCCTAGGTCTTCACAGCAATCTCACGCATTCAGAAACCCTCTTTATGCTCATGATCTGATCCCAAGGCTGCACCGCCAGCCCCTCATCCCTCTTCTGAGCTGTTAGAGTTATCCCCACAATACCTCAGAAACCAAGCCTTCTGCCCACCCCTGCCAGGCACCAAGCCTCCATCATTGCTCCCTAGACCCCTCTGAAGACCCCAACTGCCAGCTGACTCCATGTCCATCGGATCATTTGTTCCTCACACAGCAGCCCAAGGAGCTTACGCATATATGTCAGAAGCTGTCACTCTCTTTAAAGCTCATTTCAAACTCCAAGTCCCTAGCCTCCTCCCATGCTACCCTCCCCACTACCCTTCACTCTGCCCCCAAACCTCAGCCAACAGCCACAGCCACGGCCACACGCAGATCACCTTTCAGTTCCTCCTGCAGCCAAGCCAGGCTGTTCCCTGCCTCAGGGCCTTTGAACCTGCTGTGCCCCTGCCCTGGTCTTGCTTTACAGACCCCTCCTCACAGCTCTCCCTCTCCCAGACTATGCCCTTCCACTACTGTCTACGCTTTATTCCTTACTTGACCTTGGCCACACAGGAGTCTGTCATGTTTCCTCTGGATTCCCACCACCTGGCACTGCACAGCATGGGTGAGCACCGTGGGATGAATCAATGAGCGAAACAGCTGAGACCTGGAGGTTGAGGGCAAGTTTTCTAAGAACAGAGTCTTCCAGGTGGAGGGAACAGCACGTACAAAAGCCCTGAGGCAGGAGAGAGCATTTGGGTAGAGAAATGGAGAGAAATCTAGAACAACTAGACCAGAGCCCAGAAGCAGTGCTGTGACGGAACGCCCCTCGTCTCCCATCCGAGGAACGGAGAGACACCAGATGGGACGTGCTGGCCCAGGTCCAGGCCGCTACCGTGGTCTTGATTCCTCTCCTGCTCCTCAGTCCCACTAGGTTTGGACGCATAACCTCCCAACGTCATGATCATGGGCAAGTCGTCCAGCCTCTGGGAGCCTCAGTTTTCTCCTCTCTAGAACAGGGACATGGCAGGCCCTCCCTGGAGCCCAGGCTTGCTGTGAATAAGAAGGTGGCTATGAAAATAACCTGTGAGCTGTAAAATGCAATGTATATATCAGATACACACACTCCTTCCTGAATGAAATAAGACTCAAAGAGAGCAAAACAAAATGAGACACAATTTAGATGGGAAAATATTTCTTTTCCAACTTGGGGCCTAGCGAGTAGAAGAACTTTTTAAATTATTTGGGTCCCCATATGTGTCATCTTGCACAATTATGTACAAAGGCATCCCCCTCTCCCCAGATGCAGGAAGTCCCAGCCAGCTGGACCGGGGCCAGAAAGTGAATGCATCTGCTGTGCTACTGGAGAGACTGGTCAGCTGGAACCCAGGCCGATCCCATAAAACTCCCATGAGCTGAGTCCCTTTGGCTGGGAGCGGGCCCCAGGCACCCCATGGAACTAGTCTGCAGTACCCCTAGCAGACACCATCTGGCAGATGCCACCACCTGGTTTTACAGAAGCAGCAGAGAAATCTTGCCTGGCCACAGAAGCTGGGGCAGGATGCAGCCCAAGGCTCTCTCCTTCACTGTCCGCCCCAGTGTTCATGGCCTCGTCTGAGTGACCCACAGCCCGCATGGCCCCCTCTCTCCAGCAAAGTCCAAAAGACAGCTTCACTTCCAGGAGATGACAAAGAAAGACAACCAGAGCTCTTGGCTCCGCCACCAAGAGCTGGCTGGGCACCAACCTT